CACGTCCGGACTCCAAATCGAGTAAAAAAATTTTTGACCTTGACTAATTTTTCGTCGTCTATTCAAAGGTGTGCTTGGTTATGCCTGGATATTTCTGAATAATTACCAGTTTACCCTTTTTGCTTTATATGTCCGTTTTTCTTTATTTTGCCGTTTTTCCTTCGTCCGGATTCCAAATCATGCAATTCTTGAGTCCATCACAATTAGTTTGTTATTGTCTTTCTAGTGGTGTGCTCGGTAGCACCTGAATCCATATTTTTGTCAAAATGACTATTTTACCCCTGGGGGCTTATTTGTCATATTTCTGATTTTTTGCTTCTGTGTCAGTTCTCATTGTGTTCCACAACCTCATGGAAGGTTATCAAAGTGTCTTATAGGCGTGTTGTGCCTTAGGAAACTATTGTTTTATTTCTTGCTTCTGCATTAGGATCCATTATCGGGTTAATCTTTGATTCATCACAGGACCCACTGGCTTGAAAAACCAGGGCTGTCACAGGTGGTATCAGAGCTTTTAAGCTTGAAAACCTTAGGACGATGGGTTTTGGGTGCATATCAAGCTTTTATTGACTTTCTTTGATATGTGTACGTTTTTCTTGATAACATGTTTTGATTTAGTAACATGTTTACGTGCTTATATGGTAGTATGTTTAGGAGTTTTCCTTAACTGTTTTAGTATGTTGTATATGCTTGTATGCCTTAGCATTTTGTATATGTTTGTTGGGAGTTAGCATGTTGTATATACTTTTATATTTAGCACGACTGTATATTGCATACATTTCTTGCTTGTATTATGTGCTACTTGCTCCGTGCATTCATGGCGTGAGTTGTATTAGGTCTTAACAACTTGCGTTGTTGTTGACCTTGTCCCTTATGTGTGTAGCACCATGGTTTTGACTCGCAGAGAGTCTTCTCATCACATAGGAGTGGATGAGTAGGTTGAGGAGCAGGTTGCAGACATCGGGCTCGCACGGGGTCCAGGGAGGCCCAGGGCTCAACCTCGTGGTGTGGATCCTAATCCACCATGAGCGCCGACTTATGAGGAGCAGATCGCACAGGGAGTGGCTCTGGGGATGTCAGAGTCTATTCAGTAGATGTTTCGTCAGCATATTACAGGGATGCAGATTCTGGTACCGGCACAAGCACCAGCACCAATTGCTAATGAGGCATTGGACTACTTCATGAAGTTACAGCGGGTTAAGATCGACCAGTTTACAGGAAGTATGGATCCGCTTGCTTCAGAGGCATGGTTTAATTTTATGGTATGCAAGCTCGATAACATGGAAATACCTACAAACTGATTGAGGATCTCCTTGACAGCTTCTATGTTCATCGGAGATGCCGATATCAGGTAGAGGTTTATGACCAATATCCATGATGTAGAGGTGATGACTTGGGAGGAGTTCAAGACATTGTTCTTTGACTGCTTCTTTCTGAGGGCTATGAGGCAGGATATGAGAGTGCAGTTCACAGGCCTTTATCAGGGCATGTTGAATGTCATTAAGTATGAGACACGCTTCACTTCTCTTTTCCGCTATGCACCAGAGATAGCAGCTACCGATGAGCTCAAGGTAAGGAAGTGTTAAGATGGGTTACATCTTGATATTAGGCCACGGATTTCAGTGTTGGATTTGAGGACCTATGGGGAGGTAGTGCAGAAAGCTATATTGGTTGAGGTAGAGGACCGAGATCAGCTCAGGATCAAGGGTTCATATAAGTAGTCTCGTGGAGAGGCTTCATCAGTATCTGTTGAGGCCAGTAGAAGAAGGTTAAGGCCAGGGACAGTTCACGTACTCAGGGACAGTTACAGCAGGCTCGGTCTATACCTGCAGTTCCAGTATCTTCGGGCTCAGTTCGGGGAGTGATTTGTCACCACTGTCAGCAGCCAGGGCATATTAAGCCTCGCTGTCCACAACTTCAGCCACAGGCCAGTCAGTCTCAGGCTAGCAAGCCTACAGCTTCGACGAAGGGGGTTCGCAGAGCTTGTCACTATTGCAAGCAACCAGGTCACTTCAGGAGAGAGTGTCCGAAATTGCAAGGCGGGACACAGAGTGGCATAGGTTCACAGGCCACACCGGCATAGTCAGCAGTTGTGCAATCAGGTTTCAGGGTGCCTCAGGCACCGCAGTTAGCGGCTTTACCAGTTGGTTCATATCTGGTCAGAGGCTCCACACCTACTGCTTCCGGACATCAATCGGGTCACCAGGGCAGGTCTCAGCAATTAGGGGCTCAGGGACGAGTCTACACATTGCCACAGGCCGATACCTCTGCAGGGACTTCTACGCTTTGAGGTATCTTTCCAGTTTTTAGTTTTTGGGCTAAAGTTCTTATTGACACGGGTGCGTCGCATTCATTTATATCTGCATCATTTGTACATTCCTTGGGGCTGGAAGTCACACTATGGGATGGTTTCCTTTATGTTGACACACCAGTAGGGGTCCAGTGTTTTTGGACTGTGTTTGTCGGGGTTGTGCTATCGAGATAGCTAGGCGGACCTTAAAGTTTGATTTTGTTATTTTTGACATGACGTACTTTAACGTCTTTCTCGGGATGGATTGGTTATCCTTCTTTCGTGCTATGATCGATTGCTTCCGCGGGAAAGTGACTATTTGTACTCCTGAGGGAGACTGTTTTCACTTTGTGGGAGATAGGAGCGATTCCCACCCGGCAACTGTTTTTAGTATTGGTGATTGGAGTCGCCACAGGTCTTACTTGGTTAGCCTATTAACTGAGGAGGATAGCAGCTTGGGCCGTGATTTTTTGGTAGTTATAGTCGAGTTTTTGGATGTCTTTCCAGAGGAGTTGATAGAGCTTCCTCCTCTTTGGGAAGTTATCTTTCCATTGACGTCATTCCCGATACTACGCCGATCTCTACTTGATGAACTGAAAGCTTAATTGGATGATTTGAAAGCTAAGGGCTTTATTCGTCCTAGTGCTTCACCCTCGGGAGCACCGGTTCTTTTTGCAAAGAAGAAGGATGGGTCTTTGAGACTTTGTATCGATTATCGCAAGCTGAACCACGTTACGATCAAGAACAGGTATCCTTTGCCTAGGATTGATGACTTGTTTGATCAGTTGAAGAGAGCCACTTGTTTTTCTAAGATTGATTTGAGATCGGGTTACTATCAGTTGAGGGTTAAGGATGAGAATATATCCAAGACCGCTTTCCATACACGGTATGGCTATTATGAGTTTCTAGTGATGCCATTTGGTTTGACTAATGCTCCAGCAGCTTTCATGGACTTGATGAACCGCGTATTCAGTGACCATCTTGATCAGTTTGTTGTGGTTTTTGTTGATGACATTCTCGTATACTCAACTTTGATAGAGGAACATAAGTATCATTTGAGGACAGTATTGTAAATCCTTAGGGATAATCAGTTGTGTGCTAAGTTCGAGAAATGCGAATTTTGGCTACCAGAAATGAAGTTCCTTGGACATGTTGTGTCAAGGGGCGGTGTTACAGTGGATCTGTCAAAGATTAAGTCGGTGATGGATTGGGAGCGTCCGAATATAGTGTTTGAGATTCGGAGTTTCCTTGGCCTAGCCGGCTACTACCGGAGATCTGTTCGGGATTTCTCTCGTCTAGCGGCACCTATGACTCGACTTACCCGCAAGGGGGTCAAGTTCGTATGGAACGAGGCATGTGAGTTTCCTTTTCAGGAGTTGAAGGTCAAGTTGACATCGGCTCCAGTTTTGATCATTCCTGAATGTGGTTTAGGTTATATGATCTTTTGTGATGTTTCACGGGAAGGTTTGGGTTGCGTCTTAATACAGACAGAGCAAGTGGTTGCTTATTGGTCTCGACAGTTGAAGACTCACGAGTTAAACTATCCGATGCATGATTTGGAGTTAGCAGTAGTTATCTTTGCCCTGAAGGGGTAAAGACACTATTTGTACGGGCAGAAATTTGAGGTTTTCTCCGATCACAAGAGTCTCAAGTATCTCTTCTCTCAGAAGGATTTGAACTTAAGACAGTGCAGATGGGTCAAGTTCATAGAGGACTATGACTTTAAGTCACAGTACCATTGGGGTAAGGCCAACGTAGTGGCCGATGCATTGAGTAGGAAGTCACGGGGAACTCTTGCTAGCGTTTCCATTCATATATGGAAGATGCTAGAAGAGCTTGCAGATCTTGGTTTATAGTCTTATGAGGATGTTTCACCAGCTATTTTGTTTAGCCTTATGGCTCAACCGGCTCTTGTTAGCAGAGTTATTGAGGCACAGTTGGAGGATGAGGAGATGAAGGCCATCCATATTCGAATTTTAGGCGGCGAAAGTGTAGAGGGTTGGACCTTACATTCAGATGGTGGTCTCAAGTACAAGGGGATGATGTTTGTTCCTTTGTCTTGTCGTGAAGACGTTCTTCGGGACTTTCACCACTCTCGGCTTGTAGTTCATCCTGGTGGTACAAAGATGTATCACAATCTGCGATGACAGTTTTGGTGGCGGGGCATGAAACGGGATGTTTCACAATTTATGGCTCGATGTCTTACTTGTCAACAAGTGAAGGTAGATCATCAACGACCGGTAGCATTGTTGCCACCATTTCCAGTAGCTGAGTGGAAATAAGAGTATATCATTGTGGATTTCGTAACGGGACTTCCGAGGTCTCAGGTAGGGAATGATGCAGTTTGGGTCATAGTTAACAGGTTGACTAAGACGGCATACTTCTTGCCCATGGCAGTGACAGATAGTGCAGGAGACTAAGTGGACTGTATGTGAGGTAGATTGTCATGCTTCATGGAGTTCCTGTATCCATTATTTCGGATAGGGATCCACAGTTCACGTCTCACTTTTGGTAGAGTTTTCAGGAGGCTCTTGATACAGGGCCTCATTTTAGCACGACATTCCATCCTCAGACTGATGGTCAGTCGGAGCGTACCATTCAGATATTGGAGGATATGTTACAGACTTGTATCTTAGATTTTGAGGGTAGTTGGGAGGACTACTTGCCTTTGGTTGAGTTTGCCTATAACAACAGTTACCGGACCAGTATTGGTATGGCACCATTTGAGGCGTTGTATGACAGACCGTGCAGATCTCCAATTTGTTGGACCGAGGTCGGTGATACCATTGCCCTAGGTCCTGACATTGTCATTAAGACTACAGATAAAATCAAGTTAATTCGGCAGCAGTTGGCTACTGCACAGAGCAGACAGAGGAGTTACACTGATAGGAGGAGACGATTATTGTCTTTTGAGGTAGGGGACCATGTCTTTCTTAAGATTTCTCCGCGCAAGGGGCTTCTGAGATTTCAACAAACTGGCAAGTTGTCTCCTAGGTTCATTAGACCATTTGAGATTTTGGAGCGCGTCGGTGAGGTTACTTATCATTTGGCGTTACCACCAGACCTGGATAGGGTTCACGACATCTTTCATGTCTCTACGCTGAGGAAGTACAAGCCAGATCCATCATATGTTTTACAGTGGACTGATGTGGTTGTTCGTGAGGACGTGACCTATGAGAAAGGTCTGGTCCAGATTCTTGATTCATGGGAGCAGGTCTTACGGACTAAGAACATTCCATTGGTTAAGGTCTTGTGGAGACATCACAGCGTCGAGGAGGCTACCTGAGAGTTCTAACAGGAGGTTCACTCTTGGTATCCCCATTTGTTCTCTCTTTCAAGTACGACTTGATTTCGGGTAATACCCCGATATTTTTAAAGGATTAATTAATTAGGACTAATTACTTTATTTTATTCTTCAATGATTTATTTTATTTATTGAGTGCTAGATTAATTATCTTATTTTAATTAAGTTATATTTCGTGATTATGTATGATGATTGATTGTTTGTGTGGTTGATTATTGATTGAATTATTAGTGTGTTGATTTTATTGGTATTGTGTGACTCAGTTGTAAATTCTTGTTTGTTTATGTACTTCATGTAATTAGTTATTTTAATTTCAATATTTAATTAATTATCTTATTTATTTAAATTAATTGGATTGGGTTTAAGGAAAGTTGGACCAAAAGACGTGGTCTTGGGCTTGTATGAAACCTTATTAGGATAATTAATGAAGGCCCGTGGTTATTTAATTATTTAAATGATCACTTTTTGTATTAATTATAAATATATATATATATATATATATAAATATAATTAATTAATAGTTGTTATGGAATATATATATAGATATATATTTATTGATATATATATGTATATATGATTTAATTAACTAATGGGTTAATTATGGAAGGAATATAAATTTATATATATATATATGTAATATAATATATGTTTATAGATATAAATTATTTAAAGGTTATAATTTTAATTCATAATACAAGTTGGAATAGGATTTGGAATTTAATGTGTATAAAAATACACATAAAGCTTTAGGGTTAAAGGTTTTACACGTTAGAAAAATAAAATAGACAGAGAGAGAGGAAGAAGAAGGGCTGACAATGAGGAGGTCGGATCAGAAAAGGAGGACGTCGGAATTGGAAGAGATAATTAAAGCTTGAAGCGTCGGTTTCGTTTCGAAACCTTCAAGCGAGTTCTTCTCTAACTTTCCTCTTAGAACTCATAAGGATTTCATGTTAAGTATCAAAATTTAAGGTTAAATTTATTGATTAAATGATGGTTAGAACGGAATATTTAAAATATGAATTATTATATTTTATTTTTTGGAATTTTGGATTTTTATTGTTGTATATATGTGTTGTATATTTTGTTTACATCAATCAATAGGCTAGATCTAGACCCAAGAGGGTTAATTAGTGTTTCTAGAATTTATGGGAATTTTTTGTAATTTTCTGGAATTTTTCTGGTATTTTTCTATTTTTTTAAAGGAATTTATTAGATTTATTTTCTTTATTTATTTGAAATATATATATATACCCTATTTATATATTTTATATATACGGCTTATGTATCGGCGTATGAACAAGGTATCATAATCCTATGTGGCGCGGCATACAGTAAGTTGGTGGGTAAACTGATCTGGGCCATTGAGTTGGAGTTGATGATTGGAGGATGATTTGGTGTGTTGCGGTTCCATAGAAACTCAGTGCACCACATAAAGGGATCCTAGATTAGATCTGATCAAAGGAATAGGATCTGGTGCGGTGCGCACCATCAGAGTTGATGCACCAGTGAATCATAGTACGCCACGTGTCATACTTTAATCCAGTGCGGTTGCGCTCACAGTAACCATTGAGCTCAACATATTATTATTCCTGTTTTGTTATTCGAAATTTAAACAGTCATAACTTAATCATTTTAAATCGAAATTGGGTCATTCTTGAGCTCAAATTCAAGGATTTTTCGTCCTCTTTCCAATGGTACCAATTTCATTATCAGATTCTCATCCTAATAAGAGATATTTACGTTTTAGTGAGACGGTGTCGGAAAACTATTTAAACTGGTATGGAGTATTTAGGGGAAACTATTTCTGACATATTTAGTAGCATTAATTTGTGTAAATATAATAAATTAATAATTTATTATGGAGGGAAGTGTGTGTGGCTATATATATATATATATTTATATATGCGTATATATAGTTTAATTCGTTTATGAGTTATATAGAAGGATGAATATATGTATATATATATATATATATACATATATGTATATTGATTTTTAAAAAAATTAAGGATTATTAAGGAAGGTGTTAAACACACATATATATATTAAATAATATATGTGTAGGTATATATATAAATATATATCATTTAAAATGATTAATATTATCATTCTTATTTGTTGTATCTTGATAGGTTGATTATTAAATCAATAATATGCGTATAATATGCATGAGATAGTTATGTATGATTTAGCGTATTGTTAAGTTTCAAGTGATTCATGGTTAAGATGTAGGCATGGATGAATTGCCAAAGGATTAAAAATATTACATAAATATTTGTATGAATATAATACATACATGGGACGCATGGATGAATTGCTAATTAAATGTATGAATAAATATACCTGTGGAGGCATGGTTGAATTGCCAATGTATAAATATATATACACGGAGGCATGGTTGAATTGCCAATGTATAAATATATATACTTGTGGAAGCATGGTTGAATTGCCAATATATAAATAAAAATATTTGTAACGGCATGGTTGATTTGCCAAAGCATAATTACGTTGTTATGTGTTAGATGATTAAAATATCATCTATGGTTGTTGTATGTATGGATTGGATTAGGGTTAGATATTCTTAAATGAGAATAGTTTAGTACTTACTGGTTAGTGTATTATTTTACATTAATAAAATAATATTGGGGAAGACGTGGATGATTTGTCAAAACTTGGATTTTGGATATGTGATTTAAACAATTAAAATCATTATCGGGTTGGGATTAAATAGAGTATTTCTTTTATTATTATTTGTTGTTTAAATGATTAGACAACTGACTAGGATGGGATTAAGGTCAAAGGAGTTTTTATAAAATGAAATGGTAGATTGGTCTAGGTATGAATATTATTTTAATAATTATTTAATAGGTATGGAAATTTAATAAACCTATTAATGGATGTGATTAGTATAGTATATATAATTATATATAGACATGTATATCGTGCTTTATTAAAGTTAAAACTTTATTATGTTTGGTTTTGATTAGAGATGATCTGCTTATTGGTTTTCAGAGGCCTGGTAGAGTGAACTTGCTCGTAGGGTTTAACCCACGATTTATTTTTCAGGTTATTCGAGGTTCCAGTCTCGAGGTTGAGGATCCGCAGCTGGGAGACTGTCATTCGTCTATTCATCTTGTGTACTTTTAAATAGTATGGGATTATTGGATAATGTTTTAAGAGGTCCTTGAGTTATGGGATTTCCGAATTGTAATTGTTGGAGAATCATTAAGTAATATTTATTTATTAGTTTTCTTCAGCGGTTTATTTATTCTTTATTATTCATCTTTGTATTCTGTGCTTGTTAAATACTTAAATTGTTTTGATATCCCTTGATTTTGTGCGCGGACTTGATCAATCCGTGTTCCAAAATTAGGGGGTATCACATTTCGTGAATGAAATCCTTTTAAGGAGGGTAGGTTGTAATGACCCGGTCATTTTCCTTCTTTTCATTTTTTTTTTGGTAATTTCTTTTTTCGTCGTTTTCCCTATTTCGTCTTTTTCTCGTTTATCATTTTTCCTTGCATAACCTCACTTTTTGGGCTCAGATTTGATTTCGGCCTTGCATGCATCCATGATATTTAATTTCCATGAAATCTACATTTTTACTTTTGTAGAAAAGTATGCTAGATGTTTACTTTTCTTGTAAAGGGTATGGATACATAACTTCTTGAAAATATTCTTGACTTTTGGGGTTTTAGTGTAATTATGTAAAGTAATTATTTTTCGTCTTAGGAACCAATTTGTAATTTAATTTGGAAGATATTTTGAAAATGAGTCTTTTTGTAATTTTTGTGAAGTGTGACAAGTGTCACACTCCTATGGAGCCACTTGTTGGCATTGTGGTGGAACCACTTGGAGACTTAGTTTGATGACACATGGAGGGCGGAGATTTACCCATTTGTTGGCCTAGGATAGGAGCATTTGTTGGCATAGATGGTTGACAAGTGTAGGCTTAATATCAAGCCTTGGATGATTACTTAGGATGGTGACAAGTGTAGACACCATATTTTGTCTTGCATTTGTGTGTGTGTGAGAGGTAGTGCAAGAGCACATAGTAAGTGGAGAATCCCACCACATTTAGTTTAGAGTTTGTGTTTTTATTTCATTTTATCTCTTTCCTCTCAAACCCCAACCTAGCCACCATTGAAGTAAAGCTTAGTTTAGAGCTTTAAGCTTCATTTTGGCCTCCTTCCACTCACCTTAGAACCTAAAGCTTGAAGTACTTTAGCTTCCTCCCACTCTCCTCTACAAAACCCTAGATTGGTTTACCATTTTAAGCTTGATTGCTTTGGATTATAGAGATTCAATTCTCTATTGAGGTAGGGGTGGTTATATGTTTATCCTTTTTGGGTTTTATATATATTGGAGCTTAATATATATTGATTACATGCCTTTTAAATTCTTGTACTTGCATGTAAATAGAGATTTTATATGCTTGACTTAGGATTTGTGGATTAAAGCATGTAGATGACTATTAAATTGTATAGGTAGGTTATTGTTTAATGACTTGCCTAATACTTGTGATTTCATTGAGGGTCTATTATGAATATCTTGAAATTGCACTTATGTGTTAAGTAATGGAAATTTTATTGAAAGTCTAGTATGAAAATCTTATATGTAGCACTTGTAATTACTTGTAGGTAAATTACTATATTGCATGGTTAGTAATTGTGGCCTACATTAATATTAAATTCATACAGCATAATGTGTAGTATCATTAGCCTGCCACTTTAGACATGCAACCTTAGGGCATGGTTTGTGTGGTTTCACCTTACTTGTGCTTGGTAGGTAGTTTCATGCATTAAGATTATATAAATGTCATGGACTTGTTGATTTTTGGAAGCTTGTAAGGATATGAAATGTTTGATGGCTAGGGTTTGGCTCTAGTATGGAGGAAAAGAATTCTCCTAAGTCATAGTGCGCACTAGGTTGTACCTTGTGGGTCGTAATTACCCGAAATAACTTGTATGATCTCGTGGCCACATATCCTAGCCTTTCCATTATTTGATTTAGTATTACTTTCCATGTTATAAATCATGGATTTCTTGTAGCTTGTGATTTGGTAATCTTAGTTTAAATGCGGTTAATGTACTTGTTTATGTATACTTGGATGCTATGTATTTATCATTTCAAACATTTGTAGAGCTTGAGATGATCCCTTAGAGTACCATGGAAATATAGACGTTAAGTGGAATGCACTCTTGTGATGGTCTATGTTTGGTTCACATTATACTTGAAACTATAGGGTATGCGCATGCACCACATCCTACGAGTAACTTGATTACTCTCCCTAGTTGTTTAGGTTATTTTGTAGGTAAAGAAACTTTGTTTTGGGATGCATCACATTCTTAAGTTACCTTGATACCTTGAAGTATTTTGATGTATTTTGGAAAACATGCAAGTGTTAGCATGTAGCATCTTTTAGTTGTAAAATGTTATTTTTACCTAGAAATATGTAATGTGTACCTAAGTACACTTTTTGAATGCTTATTTGGTATGTATGACATGAGTCCAAGGGCCATTAATTCTAAAGTTTACAAATATGTTTTAAAACTTGAGATTTTAATACTTGGTACTACTCATCGACTTTTTTAAAAAAAAAACGTGTCGACCGATCCGAAACTTCCGGGGGTCTTGTGGGTGTATTTTAAGATTGCATTTTTAATTTAGACAATTTAAAAACCTCCAGAAGCCCCATTTCCTTTCCTTTGGCAGCAGCTTGGACGGATTTTTACCACATTGACCTGATTTTCTTGGGGGCATTCTGGGCATCGCAATGCATTTTTTTTGTTTCCGTTCGCGTGGCCAAGTAGAAAACTTGATTTTAGGGGGGGGGGAGGGTTTTTTCTTTGAGTTTTTCCAAAAAAGTCCATTTAGGTGCCTGTTTTTACTGTCAGTTGCAGCATTAGTGGGTCGGCAGCACTATAGCTGTCATGACCCTCATCGGGCCGCCGCGACATTATTTTTGTTTTTGACCTTTTTCCCACGTCCAGACTCCAAATCGAGTAAACTATTTTTTGAACTTGACTAATTTTTCGTCGTCTATTCAACGGTGTGCTCGGTTACGCCTGGATATTTTTAAATAATACCAGTTTACCCTTTTTGCTTTATATGTCCCTTTTTCTTTGTTTTGTCGTTTCTCCTTCGTTCAGACTCCAAATCATGTGATTCTTGAGTCTATCATGATTAGTTTTTTATTGTCTTTCTAGCGGTGTACTCGGTAGCACCCAAATCTATATTTTTTGCAAAATGACTATTTTGCCCTTGGGGGCCTATTGTCATATTTCCGATCTTTTGCTTCTATGTCAATTCTCATTGAGTTCCACGACCTCATGGAAGGTCATCAAAGTGTCTTAGAGGTGTGTTGTGCCTTAGGATACCATTGTTTTATTTCTTTCTTCTGCATCTGGATCCGTTATCAGGTCAATCTTCGGTTCATTACAAGATGCACTGACTTGAAAAACCAGGGCCGTCACAAAAACCCAAACAACCCACCTCTAAACCACGAGGTAATATTGCAAAAGAATACTATAAAATGAAATGCTCTCTTTAACCGACACATCCACCTACCAACTCAATCATAAAACCCATGGACCACGTAGAGATGACGCACCAATGAAACTCAATGAAATAACGACCTTAATCGCACCATGCATAACAATGGCCAATCCATTTCCCTCCTATCATGCTCATCATTACTACAACTGAATACAAGTCCAAGATTAAAAGGATACTAACTTACACACATTAAACATTGCATATATCGCATATGTACTAAAAATAAACATGGCTCACATATTCACATTTCATATAAACATACTTTACAACTCTCCACATCCATAAGACCCAAAGAAAGTGTAAATTACTAGCATAAGACACCACTACCTTAATTTGAGGTGAAAACCTCAAATGACGCCAACACGAAACTGCTCCAAAGACGACGCAACTTCGGGGTTACGTCGGGGACAATAAAGGCAACAACTAATTCTCTTATGGCACCTCCAAAATCCAAACCTGAGCTCAAATCAAACACTAAAAAATGATCCAAATGGAAGACTATTCAGATAGAATGTAAGCCCTTACCAAGGCTAACATGGCAAAGGTTGAATCTAAAAAGAAGGCACTCAAATGGAGGAGAGAATAACTAGATCTAGAAAAAGAAAGGAAGAAGAAAGAAGAAGAATGGCTGCCAGCCAAGAGAAGGGAAAAATGATTTCTCTTTCTCTCTCCCCTCCTTATATACCAAGTCAAAAGTCAAGTTAAAGTCAACGAATAGGCCTTATACGACCCTAAAAAGCTAAAGTTGTCAAAACGCGCTCAAACGGATAAAACTCGTGAAAGTAAAAATAACGGTATCAAAATTAATGTACAAAAAAATTAACGGCACTGAAAAATAATCCAGAGCAGAAAAATTCGTCTTGGACCCACACGATGACCTCCCGAGTCAAAAATAAAAAAATGAAGGAAATGGTCCGGAATGCATTTATAAGAGTTCAAAACTTGACAAAAGCTAAAAAGAATCCCGAGAACCCCGTACACGTATCCCAATGTCACAAAATTAAAGGAAAAAGAAAATCCAAAAAATGGGAAAATGACCGGTCTTTACATGTCTAATCCGGAGGTAGCCTTTGTCAGAGCTTCCACTAGTCGTCGTCGTCGTTGGGAAATCACGGTTCGAGCACAAGCTTTGGTTTGGTGGTGTTAGCGTCAGTCTGGTGGTGGTGGTGATGTTGAAGTCTGTATGTATATATATGTATATTTACGTGTGTGTGTGTGTGTGTGTGTGTGTAAATATATGATATTGGCTACCATAGTGGTAGAGTTATTATTATTTTTTTGCTAAGGGTCATTTTGGTCATTAAAATGACTTATAAAGGTTAATATTGTGATTTAATGATTTAAATTATTCAATTTAGAAGTCAAAGGGCAATTATGTACTCTTATCATGATTAGTGTGTTGTTATTCAAGTTTGCAAATCTGGGGATGATGGATCACACCCTCTTTAAATTGTATCTATGTGTCTTTATTACAAACCTAGAGTATGAGTGCAAATTTCCTATTATTAGGGAGAGATTAGTCCCCGTCCCAAATTAAAAGTCTATTTTTAGGAACCTAACTATATAAGAGGATGAATTTTAGTATTTATTTATTTATTATAGTAGCAGTGAATGAATTACCAAAATATCCATAATGGGTCCATATAGATGTAATTGTTTACTTTTTACAACTTAAATGGAAGAAGGTTAAATTGATAATGTTAAAAAAAGTATTTTGCGATACATTTATTTTGGAACAGCTAAAAATGAGAAGGTGAACAATATGATGCACCCGTACTCTGTAATTACAAAATTCTAAAAGTGATAAATGAGAAAATGAGAGAGAGTAGTTGAATTTATTTAAAAAATAATAATTACTGTTCCAGACTTCCTCTGTTCCAAAACAAGCGCCTTCAGGGCGCGTGGGACTTCATGTCGTTTCCGTTTCTGAGATCAGCTCTTGACTATTGTGTTCTGAATGAATGTTTCGTTGAGAATTTTGGTAAAGTCGTTTGGTTTGGTAATCGGAATCAGAAGTAAGAGTTGGCTGTTTCAATTATTCCTTGTCTCACCACCCTCTCTCTCTCAATTCCTTGCAACCCACGACCAAATTCTCTTCAATTCTTCAAATTCAGTTTCTGGGTAGCAAGTGATTTTCTTTGTCTGAACAAAGGTGGGGCAAAATAGGTTCAATTTTGGTAAATTTTGATGTACAAATGAACAATCCTACACCAGTGATTTTCATCGGGTGTTCTCTCTGACCCATCAAGAGAGAGAAATTTTCTTGGGTTTGGAGAGAGAAAATGAAGGATTTTCCTGGCACTCCTGGGACTGTGACTGGGCTTGTTCTTCGAATTTTCCAGTGTTTGTTTGCAGCTGGTTCAATTGCTTCCGTGGCAACTTCTAATTCGATCTTCAGTATCACAGCTTTCAGGTATTTGTTATTCCTCAACTCCTTGAGTTCATCTTCTTTATATACGCAATTGAATATATTTAAGCTGTTCTTACAAATTAATAATTAGTCTATCTGTGTTTCATCCAATGGGTTTCTTTCTTCTTTTATTTTTTTTTTTTTTGGGTTTTGAAATGCTGAATTTGTCATTGAAATGTTTTTATTAGCTGATTTTAAAAATAAGAATCAAATTAGAGGACCCTGATAAAAGTGGCATTTGTGTGAAAATTTGTACTATATCACTTGGCCTTGTGTAAAATGGCCTCAACATCAATTAGCTCTGTAGATGTGTTCTACCTGGATTCATTAATTGCTCTTGGTTATTTTCAAGGATGCTTCATTACATGGAACATAGTCCAACTTTTTGTGTTACAGGATAGAAAATAGTATATCAAACACCAATCCAAAATAAATAAAACTAGAATTCTGCTGATGTGAAACAGCTGGCATTGGATTATATGGAGCGATTGGACCGACAATAATCCAACCGAAAACTTTTGGAAATTTTCACACCCCAAATTTGGCCATTGTGAAAAGGTTGCGGTTAATTGTAGTAGTTTTTGGTAGTTTTGTGATTTTTATTCTAGGGTAAGTTGGATTCCATTTGTTCTGATTTTTGTGGCCCTCTAATTTCGCGATTTGGGGGTTGTTAATAATTTTTTTTTGCGATTTTTCAGGGTTTTGTTTCACTTTAAGTAGTTGTAATGCTCATACTTTTTAGCACCTTTCTTATTAATACAATTCAAGTTTTCTCTCTTCCAAAACCTAGTGGATTCTAGGTTTTTTGTTCAACTTTATTGAATGCTTCCGCTTTGTCATCTGCTATGCACTTGACAAGGTTCAATGGGACATTGAGCTCATTGACTTCTAAAGTCAGCAAAACCTTCTATCCATAATTAATACTCATTGATTATTATAATATGAATATAGATTCAACATGTTATCCCGAGCCTATCCTCTTGTTTATGGCTTATTTGAAAATACATTTGGCTTAATTTTCGAAAGCCATATAACTTCTCCAAGTGATGTAGGACAGAATTTTTCAGTTCAATAAGTCCATTATCGACTCGAAAGGAGGGGTTTTTAGTGGAAATGATGCATTGAGCAAAACCTACTAGGTTTTAGCTAGTGGCCCATGTCATTTTTCGACTGAAAACCTTTGTTTAGGACTCCGAAATCACGTTTTTCTGTCTGATAGGAAGCCTGTTGATTAGAAGTCGGATTGTTCTGAATTTTTATATTCAATAGTTTTTAGTTATTAGATTTCTTGTTCTATTTTTGTCATAATTTTTAGAGAGTTACATTTACACTTATTTCTAAGTTACCTTTATTTTTTGTTTCCTAGTGTTTTTAGTTTCCTTATAGTATTAGGTCTTCTTTATTATAAATATGCATCTTTGTGCACTCAGAGTTGTTCTTGTTCATTCATGAACGGTTGGTATCAGAGCCTTGTCTTATCCTGGTTTGATGACGATTTATCGTTTTGGTAGCACCCATTTTGCCGATGATGATCGTGGAGTGAAGGCCCCTTGGGCAGCCATGCATACTCAAAAATGACGGTTTGATCAAGGGTGTAGACATATGCCAGTATTGAGATTGGTGGCAACCAGATTCGTGGTTCAGTTTAGGATCGTACTGAAGATGGGTCTCGCAGCCAACCTAACATGGGTTATGTCCCTATACATCCACATAGGTCTCCAATCTATGCGGATTATTCTGATGATGAGGAGTTCGGATTCAGAGGAGTACTTGTGATGGATCGATGTGATCGATGTAGATGTGAAACCGTAGATATCCGAAGTGACTTCCGGACAATCGTGAGTTTTAGGAAAAACTTTATCAACTCAGTTTCAATGGATGTCTTCATGTTGAGGATTTCTTGGATTGACTTGATGAAGTTGAAGATTTTTGAAATGTTTTGACATACCCGAAAACAAACATGTTCCGCTTATAGCATTCAAGCTTAAAAATAATGCTTCATATTAGTGGGACGTGACACAAGGAGCCCGAAAATGCGATGGAAAACATGTGCAATCGTGGTACCAGATGAAGAAGTTATTGATGGCTAAGTTTTTTCCATTAGAATATGAGGAGATTCAATTTCAATAGTACCAAGATTACAGGCAAAGCTCTACGAAGGTTTAGGCTTATACTGAGTTATCATTGTTTTTGAAACTCGTACAATGGAAGGGCTTGCACAATAATAAAAAATTATAAAAAAAGTTATATGCGTCTACGAATCGAAATGCGTCCAAGAATTAAAACTCCAAGGTAACTGCCTAGAAGAGGAAAAGAAAGGAGATAAAAAAGAATTGAAGAATTTTAAAAAATTCATTCAACTATTGTAAGTGAAATTGGTAATGACTTTACCACGACAAAAGAAGAAGATGGTGACAAGAAGTTCAATGCTAAAAGCGAGCAACATGAATTATTGATGACTGTTGGTTCGATTATTTTTCCAAGCTGCATGTCGAAAATGGTATGGAAGAATTCGGGCATCAAGTTGGTGAAGAATTATCATGTGACCATATTGTAAGTGAAGAATTATCATGTGAGTAGATTGTAAGTGAATGAAGTTTTTATTCTGTAAAGTGCGTATGAAGATATTTTGGTGTTGTGTTTTGGAGGTTCTCACAGCAATGAATAGTATGATTTTGTGGTAGTCAATACTTCACGTTTTTTGCAGCCAAACTCAAGGACCATTTTTTTTTAAGTGGAGGGGAGTGATGTAGGACATAATTTTTGTCAGTTCGAAAAGGAGTGTTTTTTGAGTGAAAACGACCCATTGAGCAAAACCTAAAGCTAGTGGGCCACGTCGTTTTTCAGCTGAAAACCTTCGTTTTGGACTTCGAAATCACATTTTTCTGTCTTATAGGAGGCCTGTTGATTAGAAGTCTGATTGTTTAGTAGGTTTTAATAATTAGGTTTGTTATTCTATTTTTTCGCAATTTTTGGATAAAGTTAATTTTAGGCTTATTTCTAAGGTACCTTTTATTTTTAGTGTTCTTTTGCTGCTAGGTTTCCTTGCCGTATTAGGTTTTCTTTGTTATAAAGATGCATGTATTGTAAGAGCAGAATTCAACCTTTTAATTAATAATATGTCAGATTGCTCTGCAATTTTGTTTTAACTTTGTGGATCCAAAGGCCTTGTTCATTCGTGAACGCTTCATAGCTTCCGCTTCGTCACCAAGTCAAATCTAGTTACCATAACCTCCTACCCAAAACATTAGCATTGAGCCTGTAAAATGAAGAGTATAATAGTCCCTTTATTTACAGTTCGTCTGTCAAGATATCATTGTTATATTTTGGAATGTGACCTTTGAGTATCTAGTTACATTATTAGCGAAGAATTCTTGGGAATCATAATGCTAGTTTAAACATTGGCCTTACATCTATTGACACCATTGAACTTGCATCTATTGAGACCATTGGACTTACATCTATTGACACCAGGCTTATCTCTTGGTTAGGTAGGTTACTGGTTCCAACGATGAATAAGGAAGCAGTTGGATGAATGTCATGAGTATCTGAAAAGTTAACTGAAGCGAATAAAATTTTAGGAATGGAAAATAAATGCTGCTTGTTTTCTTGAAGTAACGAGCTCTATTTTCAGTATAAAATTGTGAGGCAAATTGAAAGGACAGTTTCCATCTGCATGTATTTTATTCTTTTTTATGTAAATCACCAAGGTTGTGATTGTACTAGTTGGATTGGTCCTATGCCTGTATTTGTTATGCCAATCTAAGCTTTTTATATTCTCTGTTGTTTGGAAGTATTGAATTTGCTAATTCGACATGTATTTTTCTACAGTAAAAATAAAATAAAATAAAATAAAATAAAATATAACAAATATATTTAATCAATCTGTTCTTATAGATTTTCTTCTACATCTTTGAAGGCAACATTTGGATTCGATTATTACAGAAAGAGTCATACATTTATTAACTATTACTACTACTTTTAGGGGCCAACAGGAGTAATGGGCTAGGAAACAAGGGTATCCATCCCCTAAATCCTGGTAAAGGGAGGTTTTGATCACAAATCTATTGTGACCTTGTCCTTTACAAAATGAATGGTTGTGTAAGTTTCTTCTAATTTTTATGTTCCTCATATTTTTTTTTTTTTTGGTGTAGAACTTCCCTTAAAATTGATAGTATACTTTACTCTTCTACAGTATTTACCCTTCTTAACTTTTTTGGACAGAAACCATTTCAGTCTCCTAGAATTTGGAAAATAACGCTATATAATTAAATTGATTGCACTGTCTGTAACCTTTCGTTACTAATTTTTAACTGCGTCATCACTTTTGATCCACTTTAGCTAAACCTTTTATATATATATATATTCATCTGAAGCATCTCTTAAGTGTTTAATTTATCACTAGTTCAGCTGCATCAAGTAAGCTATTATATGTCGGTGTGTAGTTTATAATAGGGGACCTCTTCCCATATTTGTGCTGTCAATTCATTTACATTAGGATTTGAAAAGTTATAGAGGAACTGGAATCTTTTATTTTCAGTAGGAAACACTTGGGTGTTGTCCCTGTTGTTCTTAAGCAAAGACCTACATATGGAAATAAGAACAATAGTAAATTAGTGGCACTAGGAGTATGCTACCATGCAAGGGATTGAATTCAATATTAAATGCTACATCCAGCTGTCAAAAAACCGCTAATGCTCTAATTGTAGGACATAATCATTATTCATATGTTGGAACTATGGCAAATAATGGGGGAACCAAATGCTGCGCATTACATGGTTTTGCTGTTACAAAAACTGATAATGAAATTCAAAGTGATATACAGTGAAATATGGACTGGTTGTACGTTGAAAAAACACATATAATTTTATGATTTGAAGTCATGATGCCTGTCATCTAGTAGTTATTAGCTTTTTGAGGAAGTACAACTCAAACATGAGCAAGCACAACTGTTTGAGTCCATGGCAAATTGCTTTTGTTCCTTTTCATTGTCTACGCCCTTATTCTTCCCTTTAATTCTAGCCCTAAGTCATTTTCTTGGGCCTTCTCCTCTTCTCAGCCTTAGCCATAAGAAGAGAAAGTGCTTGGTGGAAGTAACTTATTGATCTTCAATCCCCAGTCACTATGAATGCCACCAATTACTGCAGTGGGATTTGTCTATTTATCCATTTCTTGACTCGAAATGGGAATAGGTTTGAAAAGGTGTTCCTCAAAACACAAAAAATGAAATTAAAAAATAATAATAATAAAATAAATTAAAAAAAGACAACAGCAAAAATAAAAACTAAAAAACAATCGGTTTTTCTTTTTACTGAGCCAACTATAGGTAATGAACACGTGCCCCATTTAACCTACAAAATGCCTTCACCACTGTGCTTGGGTTGCTTTCAGAGTCTGTTATATCACTTTAAACTCTATACGCATTTGCCTTTTTTAACAGATATTGTTAAAGGATTTATATATTTAAGTTACACCCTCTCTAATAGCTTAAGCTTTTGGAGTAGATGATTGTTAAAATGGTATTAGAGCCAATGGTCTCAAGTTCAAACCTTACTACCATCCTAATTAAAAAATTGAAAAACACGTGTTGGACCAAAAAAGAAGGCCACATGTGAGGGGGCTTGTTGAAGGATTTATATATTTAAGTTACACCCTCTCTAATAGCTTATGTTTTTGGAGTAGATGGTTGTTAACATATATTACTAACACTTATCTGCAATATATATATATATATATATATAGATATATATTTTCATTAGCCATTTACATTTTACACCACTTCTTAGTCCCTGCAATCCATCCATTTCTAATTTTCTAGGTCATCTTTTCTTTTTTGGCTGCTCATTCATTTCATTATCCTCATTTCAACTATGGTCATTAAGCGAAGCTATCAATCTTGGAATGCATGAGGTAGTCATAAGCATCAGCTCTGAAATAATTGGTTCTGTTGTTCTTTTAGACATTTCTCAGCTTTGTTTAATTATAGAAGAGTGTAGTCTGAAAAAGAAATGCCATACTCTTCTTTTCACTGATTCAATATTCATCTAAAATTTTCAAGTCAAAATTCAATTTTTTGATTATTAATATAAGAATGCTTAAACCAATTTTGCTTTTGCAGCTACCTGATTGCTTCAATGGGTTTGCAAGTCATTTGGAGCTCTGGGCTTGCTTTCTTGGATGCATATGCCTTGGCAAGGAAGAAGGTCCTCCACAATCCTCTTCTTGTCAGCCTCTTTCTTGTCGGAGACTGGGTCAGTCTCTATAAAACGTACAAATAGTCTTACTTATATTAAACTGAAGAAAGTTGTGTTTTCAAAATGGTTGTCATCTCACAGTTCCCTTTCGGAATGAAATTGTTTGTAGGTTACAGCAACATTGTCTCTTGCAGCAGCTTCTGCTACAGCCGGCATCACAGTGTTGTCCTTTAGTGACTTTGGAGGTTGCGGCTTTGGGGAAGAATGTCAAAGATACCAGATGGCGGTTGCATTGGCCTTCTTTGGCTGGAACACGATAGCAATCTCATCTCTAATTATGTTTTGGCTTTTGGCAGCAGGTTAGAACTTCTTTAGATTGTGAATACTGTCACTGTCTTATAGTTGGAATTATACTGTAAAGAAAAAGAAAAGAAGAGAAATATTTATAGTTGGAACATGTTTATTGTTCCATATTTAAATTTTTGTGATAACCATAGTCATTGTATAAACCAGAGTTGGAAAATGAAAGCATATCTCCCTCTTCTTGCGGAGGAAATCAAAAAAATAATTGTCATGGATTTAAAATTTGGAGCCATCTATCTTCCCTACGAGCGACCTCCTTATAGCATTTCAGCTATTTGCATAATGTGCTTGTTGGAGTCAAGAGGATAGGGCACACTTTGTCACGGTTTGGACACAGCCCTTGAAACCTCCTCAGATTAATAGTATAACAAACTACGGTGAAAAAATTTGGATGTAAACCACTCTTACTCCCAACTCCTACCCAAAATGGTAGATTGCAAAGTCATGTTGCAGTTGTTTTGTTTTGTTTTGTTTTGTTTTGTTTTGTTTTTTAAAGATTAGGGTTAGTCATGTTTCATTATTTTACCGAACTGACTTTATAGGCTTTTTAAATGCAGGGTGGTGTGTCGTCGCACCAACGTCTAAAAATGTGAAAAAAAAGTGTGAGTGTGCAATGTGGCCAAGTTTTAAATTTATAAAAGCCACTAATACCTCTAACTAAAAATATAGCTAGGGTGAGAAGGGATCGTCCCAAGGAATTATAGGCGTGCTTGCAATGGAAACAATGTATAGGGTTAGTAGGTCGAGTGATCAAAAGGTAGTGTGTTGGGTTGATTAGACTACAAACTAAACTAAACATGTTCAATGTAAAATAAGCAATTTAAATGCAATTTAGAGAAAACAAGAGAGTGAGGTCTTGGGGTCTAGAGGTCACCACTAAACATCACCATTCTAGACATTCAATGTATAATTAACGAGGGGAAACATGTGTTGCAATTTGAGAGTGTGTGATTGATTGTTTCAACAAGCATAGATGACTAATTAAGCATATATTGTCTAAGCAATCTAGTGAATAGCACAATACATCAAATTAAACCATTAATCCTTCCTTTAAGCTCACAATCCAAATACATCACATGGTTAAAGAATAATACTACTTGCATTTATAAGTATGGAATATCAAACAATAAGTATGAATTGTTCTCCCGTCTAACAACTGAGGCAACTACACTACAACTAAACTAAGGGCATGAAAATTAAACTAAATAAACTAAGGGAGTTAGATGCACAATCCATCAAGACATGAGTATGAACCATCAAATAAACTACAATAGTATTCTATTAAGCACTATGCTTTGACAATCTCTAGATCCATAGCATCAACACACATAGACATACATCAATAACACAAAAACTAGAGATAAACACATGAACATCTATTCTAGAATAAATAGACATATGGATAGAATGAAATGATCAATTGGAAGTATTAAACCATACAACTTATTGAATAAACAAGATTCATATATAAAATAAGTGTCAAAACAAGATTACAACACAAATTCCCTCAAAATACAAAGCATTAGAGTCTAGAAGGCATGCTTAGGGCTAACTCTAGCCCCAAGAAGGTGTTTAGCTACTCATTGAAGTAGTCATCCAACCCTCAAGAGCTATCTTCATGGTAGGATTGACCTCCTTCTTGATGGAACCCTAGAAGAATAGAAGAACTTCCAATAATGTGTCTCTAGCCTCTCCTCTTCTCTTTTTCTTCCTCTCTAAGAATGTTTCTAAGTATATGTGTCTTGATGATCTTCCAAGCTCTATGTAAAAATGGCTCAAAATCCGTTATATAAGAGGCTCAAGTGTCACACCCAATGGTTTGGATTCGTGCACTAGGGTCCTTGCAATGATTGCACCATAAGACAACTTTTAATGAGCTGGAATTTGATTTAATTCGCACGTCAGAGGGTTCGATCGATCGAACTATGTTGAGATCGATCGAACATTGGTGAGATCCATCGAATGTTGCAGAGATCGATCATCCTTGGTAGAGCCTTTTTAAATAAAGATAAATCTCTAAGATATTTTGGGGTATTTTGGGAAAGAGACAAGAGTGGTAGGTAGGGTGGTAGGTGTGGATAAGATCGAATATTTTCGATCGATCGAAGAATGGTTGGATTGATCGAACATGATGGAATCTTTTGGATAAGGACAAAGGCTTGGATCCATCTTGAAGTGTCTAGATCGATGTTGCTTTAATCGATCGAAGGAATGTTGAGATTGATCGAACTTGCTAATTCTCACACTTTGTTTCATTTTGCTTTGCCCCTTTCTTCCATTCAGCTTGGGATTGCTTCTTTTAAGCTCTTATTTGGCAGAATTAACTTATTTTTGGGATAAGTACCTAAAATGGGTAATAACATGAAATTAGTCTAAAACGGGAAAGTAAGATGGATAAAGGTCCTAGAATACCTAAGCTTAAGTGGTTTAATTGTGCACTTTTCAGCGCTCATTACACCTCCAAACTTAAATATTGCTAGTCCCTAGCAATAAACTGCAAAGTAAATGAATGAAATGAACAACTATACAACTATGAACTAGAAAGCAATAAATGGATAACGCCACTTTCGTAGGGAACACGATTGCATTTAGCATATGCAACAAGCCTTTTAAACCCCTAGGTTACTCCTAGTGGACGAGTGAAGTCTCGTGAGGGTTTCCAGAAATGATACCCGCAAACATTAAGCTCATTCTCACAAAAGAGGCACCAATATTGCAATAAGCATCGGGAGAAAACTACCTTAAGTATACAATTTTTCAATCATTTCCAAGCAATCTCTTAAAATCTCAACATCAAGCAAGCAAGTATGGTCCTCCACACATCAAGAAAATGATCATGCAAATCAAAATAACTCTAGAATCATTTTTGAGTGAACTGGCATCAAATATGTTGCTATCTGAATGACTTCTACACCAGACGGCTTTAGGGCACTAGGTGTTCAAACACCCCTAAGGTCTTACAAACTCAAATCAATTAGGATACAAATCAAAACAACCTCCATCTAATCATTTCCCACTTCTCACCTTTTGGAAGAAGTCCTCACTTTTTTTTTTTTTTTTTTTTTCAAAGCATTCAATTATTAACCTAGAGTTTGGGCCTTCCACCTTTTGACGCGACAAATTCAGTGCTTGATGAGGCTAGAATCCTGGCTGCTCAATGAAAAGGGTTTGTTATCTACTTTTGTCAAGATGAAAGCTTTTAATGCACTATTAGTCTAATTGGGATATAACCAATTCAATAATCAACAAAACATGTACCCCACAAATGAATACTTGTGTGCGCCTGTGCTAATGTAGAATCCTAGAGTGAATCTCAAAACAATTACAAAATCAAGATGATGTGGACCACAAGTGCAAACAATATAGCAATTTTTCAAAAAATTTACTCTTAAATGGCATCCACAAGGCATACAGGGAGTATTGGACTCTCAAAAGATCAAAATCATTGTTAACATGGATCTCCAATCTCAATCATGTATTTAAAGTTCAACTTTAAGTAGAATGTAACAAAGACACCTTACTCCCAAACTTAAACCGCACATTGTCCTCAATGTGCAATGAGAACAAATGAAAAGATGGAAAGAATATACCGTGGTGGAAAAGACATGAAGCCCGGCAATGATCCAATATAAAAAGAGTCTCCCCTAAACTTGGAATCAATAACTTATTTGAATAACCATACTAACAAACTCACATCAAATATCAAATGGGATAAGAATAATCAAATCATGCATTCTAAGATAATATAGCACAATATGAAAAAGAAATATGAGATCAAGCCCGGCAGTAAACATGAAAGCATGAATACACACAAGGGCATAATGGTAAAAATGATTTTTTATTTTTTATTTTTTATATGAAAGCAAGATTAAACAAAATGCAAGAAAATATGAACAATGATTGCTAAGTTTAATGTCTCTAGCTATACGGAGTGCTGCTTTAAAAGATCAAGAGATTTTTATTTTATTTTATTTTATTTATTTATTTTTTATAGCTTCAGATCGATCTGAGCTCCAATTGATCTAACTTCGATCGATCGGAAATGTGAAATCCTGCAGATAAGTTCGATCGATACACGGATAGCTGAAATATGCAGAGATCCAAAAAATTTCCAAGTATGAAACTGAGATCGATTGAAGAAAAAGTTCGATTGATCTTGGAAGACTCAGATCGATCTGAAATGAAGTTTGATCGATACACAGAGAGCTGAAATATGCAAGAAATTCTCGATCGATGGGACTGAGAGATGAGTGGATGCAGAGATGATGTTCGATCGATCGAACTTATACTAAGATCGATCGAACTTATACTAAGATCGATCGAACAAGAACAATTAAGGAAGAATTCGAACATCTCATTGAAAACATTGCATGTATTACTAAATCTCTTCATAGATTGGATTTACCAAAAGGGCAGCTTCCATATGCCTTTGGAAAACTTGTCCCTCAATGTAGGGTTTTAACCTTTGCCCATTCACCTTGAATGTGTTGCCATTATTTAAGCTTTGAATTTCAATCGCCCCATGCGGCGCAACAAAGATGATCTCATAAGGGCCTTCCCATTTGGTTCGCAATTTTTCGGGAAAGAGTTTTAATCTAGAGTTGAAAAGCCAAGCTTTTTAACCCGGCTCAAAAGATTTTTTCACAATGTGTTTGTCATGAAAAGCTTTAGTTTTCTCTTTGTAGAGTTTGGCATTATCATAGGCATTATGTCTCAACTCTTCCAACTCATTCAATTGGAGTAATCGGTTCTCTCCGGCTTTGTCCAGGTCAAGATTGAGCTTTTTAATTTCCCACATAGCTTTGTGTTCTAGCTCAACCGGGAGATGGCAAGGCTTTCCATACACAAGTCTATAAGGAGACATGTCAATGGGAGTCTTATATGCCGTTCGATAAACCCACAAAGTATCATTCAATTTGCGTGACCAAACTTTCCGGGTTGTGTTAACCGTTTTCTCAAGAATATGCTTAATTTCCCGGTTTGACACTTCTACTTGCCCACTTGTTTGAGAATAGTAGGGAGTGGCGACTTTATGAATAACGGAGTACTTAAGAAATAATTTCCTTAAGAAATGATTGCAAAAATGTTTTCCTCCATCACTAATCATTGCTTTTGGCATACCAAAACGAGTAAAGATATTGGATTTGATGAATTGGACAACCACTGAGTGGTCATTAGTTTTGGTAGCACAAGCCTCCACCCACTTAGAAACATACTTAAAGGCAAGCAAAATGTATTGATATCTATAAGACATAGGGAAAGGACCCATAAAATCAATACCCCAAATATCAAAGATTTTAACAACGAGAATATTTGTTAAAGGCATCATATCTCTTCTCAACATTGAACCCATTTTTTGACATCTCTCACACTCCTTGCAAAAATAGTAGGCATCTCTATGGATGGTGGGCCAAAATAACCCACTTTAAAGCACCTTCAAGGCGGTTTTCTTTGCACTAAAATGCCCACCACATGCAAGGGTATGGCAAAACACAAGCACACTTGGAATTTCACTCTCGGGAATGCACCTTCTCACAATTTGATTAGGACAATATCGAAACAAAACAGGATCTTTCTAATAGTAATTCCGGATGTTAGCAAAGAACCACTTCTTTGCTTGCTTTGACCAATTGGTCGGAAGTTTGCCAATTGCTAAAAAATTCACAATGTCGGCAAACCAAGGCATTTGTCCATTAGAAACTTGGAATAATTGTTCATCCGAAAATGAATCATGAATTGGTGGGCTCGAGGAAGATTCTACCACTAATCTTGAAAGATGATCGGCAACGATATTTTCGGTGCCTTTCTTATCTTTGATTTCAAAATCGAATTCCTGAAGAAACAAAATCCATCTTATAAAACGAGGCTTTATTTCTTTCTTGGTCAAAAGATGCCTTAAAGCAGCGTGATCAGAATAGATAATGACTTTTGACCCTAAGAGGTAGGACCGAAATTTATCAAGAGCGTATACTACGGCAAATAATTCTTTCTCAGTGGTGGAATAATTCAATTGAGCTCCCGAGAGGGTTTTGCTTGCATAGTATATAACGTATAGAAGTTTTCCTACCCTTTGCCCCAAAATCGCTCCCATGGCATAATTAAAAGCATCACACATTATTTCAAACGGTAATGACCAATTAGGAGGTTGCATAATAGGAGCAGATGACAATAAGTCACGCAATTTATGAAAAGCATTCAGGCATGCTTGATCAAATACGAATGGTGTTTCCTTGGCAAGAAGATTGCACAAGGGTCTAGCAATCTTGCTAAAGTTTTTGATGAAATGGTGATAAAAGCCGGCATGACCTAAAAAGGAGCGAACTTCTCTTACCGTTGAAGGTGGAGGCAATTCAGAAATAAGCTCAACTTTTGCTTTATCAACCTCAATTCCCCTTTTTGAGATGACATGACCCAAAACAATACCTTCTTGAACCATAAAATGGCTCTTTTCCCAACTAAGAACAAGGTTTGTTTTACGACATCTTTTAAGCACCAATTTAGATTTTCGAGGCATGCATCAAATGAAGACCCAAAGACAGAAAAATCATCCATAAAGACATAAAGAAACTCTTCCACCATGTCTGAGAAAATTGATATCATACACCTTTGGAATGTTGCGGGAGCATTGCATAAACCGAAAGGCATCCGTCTATAATCAAATGTGCCAAAAGGACAAGTAAAGGTGGTTTTCTCTTAGTCTAAGGGGTCAAGGGCTACTTGATTATAACCCGAATAGTCATCAAGGAAGCAATAATATTATTGTCTAGCCAATCTCTCTAGAATTTGATCAATGAATGGCAAAGGGAAATGATCTTTTCTAGTGGCGGCATTTAATTTGTGGTAGTCAATGCATACACGCCATAAATTGGTGGTACACTTAGAAATTGCCTCATCTTTTGCATTTTCAACTACCGTAATCCCCGATTTCTTAGGAACTACTTGAGTTGGGCTCACCGATTTAGTATTAGAGATTGGATAAATGATACCGGCATCTAAGAGTTTAACAACTTCCTTTTTAACCACTTCTTTCATGTTGGGATTCAATCTCCTTTGGGCGTCTCTAAAGGGTTTTGCATCCTCTTTCATAAGAATGCGATGCATACAAATGGAAGGGTCAATTCCTTTTAGATCCGCTACACTCCATCTAATAGCTTTCTTATTTTCTTTAAGCACACCCAAAAGAGAATTCTCTTGATCTTTTTCAAGATTTAAAGAAATGATGACCGGAAAAGTCTCTTTGGGGCCTAGAAAGGCATACATAAGATTGGAAGGTAGAGTTTTAAGTTCAAGAGTGGGTGAAGATACCAAAGATGGAATCGGTGGAGTGCTAGAAAGTGGAGGAAGAGGTTCTTTTGGAGTTTTCCAAGGTGGAAAGTCCAAACTTGCAATGGATTCCATTAATTCATTAATCTCACTCATTGATCCATCATTGTCAAACCCATAACTTTCATACATTTCAAGGAGACAAGATGCAAGAGGATCCTCGGCTAAAAGAGATGCAAGATTGTCCTCGGTTGGTTTTTTTATAACCATTGAAGGAATGGACTCCTCCACAATCTCATCTAAGACATCTATGAGACAATACTCGTCTTCATCAATGGGATGTCGACTTGCATTGAATATATTAAGCTTAACCATCATGTTACCAAAAGAAAGGTTCATGACCCCGGATCTACAATTGATAGTTGCACTTGCGGTAGCAAGAAATGGCCTTCCTAAGATGATTGGAATGTGGTTGGTAGGATTAGCAACCAGTTCGGTATCAAGGACCACAAAATCAATCCGGAAGTAAAACTTGTCAACCTTGATGAGAATGTCGTCAACCATGCCCTTAGGAGTTCTAATGGATCTATCGGCTAATTGAAGCACCACCGAAGTTGGCTTCAACTCATTTAAACCTAGTTGGACATACACGGAGTAAGGAATCAAACTGACACTCGCCCCTAAGTCAAGAAGAGCTCTACGAACTTCATGGGTTCTAATTACACATGAGATGGTCGCAGCACCGGGATCTTTGAATTTAGGTGGAGTGTTATGTTGGATGATGGAGCTCATTTGCTCCGTGAGAAACACTTTTTTAGGGCCTTGTCCCTTGCTTTTCCTCTTTTGTGTGCAAAGATCTTTCAAGAATTTTGCATAAGGCAGAATTTGCCTAATTGCATCTAAGAGAGGAAGATTTATGTTGACTTGTTTGAAGACTTCCATTAAGTCATGGATTTTACCTTCTTGCCTCCCAAAAGGCGAAATTTCTCTTAATACATATGGAAATGGAGCTTTTGGTTCATAAGACCTTGCAACTTGAGGAGATGATGAAGAGGGTTGTGAGTTCTTGATGGTGACATTTTCATCCAAGGAAGTAGGAATAGAATTAGGCACGGGACGAGTGTCAACTTTAGGTTGCACCGGTTCACTATCTTCTCTTGGTTGTTCAACCCTATTGTCAACTTGCCTATCACTTCTCAAGGTAGCAATGGCTTGCACTTGTTCTTGGGAAAGATACCCCGATGTAGAGTTTGCTTCCACAAAATGTTGGGCTTTAGGGTTCCTTTCCGGTTGGTTAGGCAATTTACCCATCTCTCTCGCATTCAATGCATTAGCTATCATCCCTATTTGGGATTCAAGCTTTGATATCGATTGAGAATGAGAATGCAACAAATTTGTATTCATTTCCAAACTACCCAAAGCCACTAAGACCTTATCTTCAAATGTGGATTTGCTAGAAAGTGCATGATGATGATTAGAGCTACTTTGAGAATTATAAGCTTAAGGATGAGAGAAATGATTCATACTTTGATGATAAAAAGAAGAAGGTGAAACAAACCATTTTGAACCTCTATTTCTTTGATGAGGAGGAACGTATCGGTTTTGAAAATTTTTAGCTTGAAAAGGATTTGAATGTTCATTCCACACTGGTACTTAAGCATTTTGAAGAGGATAAGCAAATGCGGCATTGACTTGTCATAGTACTCATCAAGCACATGTCCATGGGGACAATTGGAAGTAGTATGCAATACACTTGAACAAGTCATGCATGGCTCACAAGAATGATGAATATGATTAAGAAGAGGAGATGATTGGGTTGCCGGTTTTTGACTTAATAGAAATTGATCAAGTTTTTAAGTGAGAGTTTTGACCTCAACAACAATCTTCATTGGACTTTCAATTTGACACACTTTCAAATTTTTCTTTTTGTTATTAGAATCATGATTCAACCGAGAAGTGTGACACTTGTGTAATGAATTTTCACTCATTTTCTCAAAAAGGTGTCAAACATCATCTTCATGTTTTCCGAAATATGATCCTCCACATGAGGTATCAACAATGTCATTATGAATGTCGGATAGACTTTCATAGAAATATTGAACAACTTTCCATTTAGGAATGCTATGGTGTGGACATTTCCTTAGCAAATCATTCAATCTTTCACAAGCCTCATGTAAAAGTGCTCCTTCCCCTTGAGAAAATTCACAAATAGAAGTTCGCATAACATTGGTCAAACTTACGGGATAAAATTTC